CCCCCTCCTTCCAAGCCCCCTCACCTGCTTGCATCTGTGCAGAGAGGAGGCACATCATCGTTTCCTGGTGATCTAGTGGTGATTAGTAAGGTCTAGTGCAGACCTTACTAATCATCCATGATTCGGCCGGTGCTGACAGCTGAAATACTTTTCTACTGAATTCAACTACACATTATTGGATATTGCCATTCAATGCTGCAGTCTTCTATAAACCATATACATACCTTCATGGCATTATGCAAACTCCAAGCATCATAGTAGGTGGGAGGCATAAACAGCGCGATGATGAGTTCTTCAACATTGCCACTTAATTCAGACTTCAGATCTTTAATCAAATCCTAAAAATGGAGCACAAATAAAAACACAAAACCCATTTTATACAGATCTCTGTTAAACACAAAAGCTGCAAGATTGGAAACCCTGCGTGACAAGTGACACACAGGCATAAAGTGGAACAAGTGTGTACAAATAAACGCCATATAAATCACATGTATGTTTCAAAAACAGCAACCCAACATATAACCCACTATAATGCAGTGTGCAAATAACGGAAAACTGCAAAAGGATTTTTCAACATACACTGGAAAACAAAACCATTTCAAATTCTGTAAAATTCCTACTTGGAATGTCAGGATTACAAAGGTTTTTATTGGGACTGTAATTGTTCGGCATTGTAGTACCCAAACAGAAGGTCTTGGGAATATCGTGCACCAGTTAGATTACAGAAGAGGTGTTCACATTTCTATTTCGGCTTGTTAAAGAACTACAAAAAAGGGACTTTCCTTGCAGTGGATTAGTGCTGAAGGCTGCCAAGTGTGTGTTTAAAGCCCCAAGCAGTGCTCCAATACTAGTAGTGGTCTGTAAGAAAGTCGCCTTTATTGGGCCCAAACCAGGTTAGCAAAATGAATCTACCACAGAGCTTTAATAAATGCCAAGAGGCAAAGTTGTTTTAAAGTGATTTCCCTGCTCTCATCTCCTAAGATAGAGGGAGAGAAAAAAAAATCGGGTCACTTAGGGGAACCTGACAGGTTTACTTTAAGTGCATACACTATAATCACCTTAAAGGTGGCCATACACTCTACAACCATCGCAAGACCTTAGTCTTGCGATGGTTGTAAAGGGATTTAAAAAAAACGTACGATCTGCCTATCTTGGACAGGCAGATCGCACTCTCGATCATCGCAAGCCCGCCCCCCTGAGGGGCGGGCTTCCGATGACCGCAATGCTGAACGGGCAGTGTGCGCGTGCGCACACCGGCCCGTTCAGCATTTATCTTCCGAGCACCGTTCTAACCAGCCGAGAATCGTACGATTCCCGGCTGGTTTTCGAACATGCTGGTTCGACAGAAGACGTGCGACCGTACAGTAGAAACGGTCGCACGTCTCCGTTCACACTGCTCGATTATCGTACGAAAAACCGATCGCATACGATTATCGTACGATAATCGTGCAGTGTATGGGCACCTTTAGAGCTTGCAATTACCTGTTCCTGGCTCTAATGCACAAGTTGTATATAGGGCCTTGCCCTTCAATCCAAGCGGATATTACCACACCCTTTGTCTGTACAAAGCTCCAACCCTTGCTATTGAGCTGCCAACTACAAAAGTTTCAGTAAGCGGCAGTGACTGAAATCTGGCAGAATAATCACAGCGGTGAGGAGAAAAAAACTGTACTTTTGGTACAGGTTGTCCTTTAAGGCATGGTCTCATCCCTTTCAGTGGAGCCCACCTGGCCCAATACTTACCTCTGTCCCAGTTTCAGTGATTTTTCTCAGAGCTGCACAGACTTTCTTCAGGAAGTGTCCTCTTGGGGTCCTCTTCATCCTGCATATGCATGCCGTGGCCCCCATTTATTCTTATGTGGTGTGTTGTACACTGCAGGACTGCTAGAAGCCTCCATTAGTAAAGCTCCTCATAGGAATGAATGGGGCCAGAGCACACATTCGTAGAATGAAGAGGACCAGGCAAGGATGTTTTCTGAAAAAAAAGTTGTGTGGCTCCTGGCAAGGCTGCAAAGTAAAGACCACTAGAAATGGGACAGAGGTAAGCATTAGAGCAGTGGTTCTCAACCTGTGTAACTTCAGGACCCACATTTGTCCTTGGTCTTTAAGTCGCAATGCAATGGAACGTACCATTGCAGTACCGTGTGTTCTGGTACGGGCGATCAAACTGTGGGTGGGAGGTGCATTTGGGGTGCCATTCAAAAGATCCACCCAGTCTCCATACCTTAAGAGAACTGGAGTGGATCCTCAGCCTGGGGTCCAGTGTGGGCTGCAGTGCTGTGATGGAGCTCCATCCATATGTACATATGCAGGGAGCCAGAATGTGACATCACTCTGGTCCAGGCACCTCTACAGGACAAGTAAGGAAGCTGTATGTATGGATGGAGCTCCCCAACGGCCATAATCCCAGCTTATCCCACCTCAAGCTGACACTCGGCACCGGGCAGCATATTTTGAATGGCTGTTTGGCTCAAGAACTGGCAGTGCTGCAAAAGGGGGAGGCTAAGGAAGGCACGCGGTGACCCACTGAACACGGGGTCGCAACCCACTTTTGAGTCACGACCCACCAGTTGAGAACCAAGGTATTAGACCATGGTACAATTACCTGCGGATCAGGAGAGTTGCCGTGCTCAGGACAAACATCTCTTCCATTCTGAATGTACGAATTACATGCAGACAGTCACGGACAGATGTGGCTGCTGTCACCCTGTCATTAACTTAAGATGCACAGCAGCCGCATCTGAACAGGGACACCTGGGATTCCCAGACACCCATGTGCATGAGGTCCTAGCACACCTGTTGAGAGTATGGTGGCTCCAATTGCCGAAGACATTTGGAAAAATGCTAGCTGCTTGGCTGGGCCTAGCATCAATACTTTTGAATCACAGATCCATAAGAGGCATGCTGTAAAAAGATTCTCTATCAATAAATGTTTGTGTTGGTCTGGAACTCAGATTGAAGCCAAAGAATCAGGCAAGCAGGAAACTAGCATTCCCAAAATGGGAGGTTAGGCATAGGAGTGCTAACATCTCTCTCTGGACGAGTGTTTCTCCTTGGTGAAAATTCAGGACCCTATATATAGCCTGGGCCTAGGATCCTTAGATCTCCCCTGCCAAATATATTTGATGACAAGTTCATACAGACACCTTCCCCAGTAAATGTTCACTTTTATACTGTGGTGGGCTCCCACTAATGTTCCTTAATAGTGTTATACCAAGATTTGGAGGGCAGAGACTACAATGTAAACACTTTAAAAAAAAATAATACCGTATATATTCGAGTATAAGCAGAGTTTTTCAGCCCATTTTTTGTGCTGAAAAGTGCCTCCCCTCGGCTTATACTCGAGTCAATATTTTTTCCCAGTTTTTTGTGATAAAATTAGGTACCTCGGCTTATATTCGGGACGGCTTATACTCGAGTCAATATTTTTTCCCAGTTTTTTGTGATAAAATTAGGTACCTCGGCTTATATTCGGGACGGCTTATACTCGAGTCAATATTTTTTCCCAGTTTTTTGTGATAAAATTAGGTACCTCGGCTTATATTCGGGACGGCTTATACTCGAGTCAATATTTTTTCCCAGTTTTTTGTGATAAAATTAGGTACCTCGGCTTATATTCGGGACGGCTTATACTCGAGTCAATATTTTTTCCCAGTTTTTTGTGATAAAATTAGGTACCTCGGCTTATATTCGGGACGGCTTATACTCGAGTCAATATTTTTTCCCAGTTTTTTGTGATAAAATTAGGTACCTCGGCTTATATTCGGGACGGCTTATACTCGAGTCAATATTTTTTCCCAGTTTTTTGTGATAAAATTAGGTACCTCGGCTTATATTCGGGACGGCTTATACTCGAGTCAATATTTTTTCCCAGTTTTTTGTGATAAAATTAGGTACCTCGGCTTATATTCGGGACGGCTTATACTCGAGTCAATATTTTTTCCCAGTTTTTTGTGATAAAATTAGGTACCTCGGCTTATATTCGGGACGGCTTATACTCGAGTCAATATTTTTTCCCAGTTTTTTGTGATAAAATTAGGTACCTCGGCTTATATTCGGGACGGCTTATACTCGAGTCAATATTTTTTCCCAGTTTTTTGTGATAAAATTAGGTACCTCGGCTTATATTCGGGACGGCTTATACTCGAGTATATACGGTAATAATAAAAAAAATGGTTTCCAATGATGTAGGGAATGGTTATAACCCTGTGTCCCATAGACAGGAAATGAGATGACTGAAAGTGAGGAATATACCATCTTATACACTTGTCAGCAGAATAAGTATCCCCATTGGGGAAGACTTTCCCGATCTGTGTACTGGTGACCGTTAAAAATCTTGTCCTAGTCACCAGGATTGAGCGTCAATCTCCCCAGCAGGGACACAGGCAGAAATAAAAGAAACCTGAATGGGGGGGGGGGGGGGTTG